GACATGGTGGGGGTTGGGCAGGATGCTAAGGAGTATTTTCTTGTAGGAGGTAGAGCGTCATTGGTAGGTTTGGCCACGTTAGGAGTCACTTGATGCATGTATATTTTGCAACAATTGTTTTGGTGGTGGCAGTGTGGAAGATGTTGGGAGGAAGGAAGGAAGGAAGACCATGTTCTCATTAAGTTATAGGAACTGCATTTGAAAGGGCACAGAGAGAAGCTCCAACTCATAAAGATGACCAGAAACCTGGAAAAAAAATCTTTAAAAAAAAAAAGTATTAGATAGGTAGCCCACAATATGGTGTTTTGTTATAGCAGGCCAAACTAAGACCATGAAGAAGAGTGAGGTGACCCAGTTGTTCTTGTCATGGATAAATGGAAAGGATAGGACATGCCAGGACGGGACTAGCCTATTGTCCAGAGGGTGGCATAGATGGCTACCCTTTAACTCGATAAAGTTTTGTCCACCTCCCTTCCCACCTAGAAGAGCCAAAACTCATGAACGAAAGTAAGAAAAACTGGGCCTCCCCGGTGGCACAGCGGTTGAGCGCTGGGTTGCGAAGCTGCCCACAGCCTCTGCAGCGCTGGTTCGATCCCCGGCTGCTCCCCGGCCACCGGAGGAGGGTCCCACATGGCGCGCAGACCTCTCCTGCCACCCGCTGCTCCCCTCAGCAGTGTACTTCGGTCCTTCTGCCTGCTCTGCTCCCTGCTCTGGCTCTGGTGAATTCTCTCACCCTCCCGCGCTTCTGACTGTACCCAGTGCTTGTATAAATAAATAAATAAGTAAATAAATCTTTAAAAAAAAAAAAAGAAAGTAAGAAAAACTATGGAAAGAATCAAGTGCTCATGACAAACCGCCGGCAGCAGCCTCTTGCCCAGGTGATGGATATGCTCAGTGTCTAGAAGGAACTTACATGTAGAGTCATTTGGCACTGGGACAGGTTTACATATCTATTTTTTTTTTTTAGAGGAGTGTATTTTTTATTTATTTATTTGTTTGTTTGTTTTTGTTCATACATGTACTTGGTACAGTCAGAAGCGCGGGAGGGTGAGAGAATCCACCAGAGCCAGAGCGGGGAGCAGAGCAGGCAGAAGGACCGAAGTACACTGCTGAGGGGAGCAGCGGGCGGCAGGAGAGGTCTGCGCGCCATGTGGGACCCTCCTCCGGTGGCCGGGCAGCAGCCAAGGATTGAACCGGCGTCGCAGAGGCCGCGGGCAGCTTCGCAACCCAGCGCTCAACCGCTGCGCCACCGGGGAGGCCAGGTTTACATATCTAAATGTCCCCCCTCGCTACACATGCATATAATATCTGCAAACAACTAGGTTAAGTTTTCACTGAATTTGGAGATTATGTTTGGGATGATCGGCCTTAAAATACATGCCGTGTGACATACTCAAATCTCACTCTGTGGGATTTGAAACCATCTCAAAGACCTTTAACTTCCCCCAAACTAAGGAACAAAAAGGCCCCACAGGATCGATGGGCAGGGATCGGCTGCATGTAAATGAAATTTTGGGAAGAGACTTCTCTGGCACTCCCCGTTTTCTGGATGAAAAGGAAATAAAGAGACAATACTTTTGATTTAATCTTTAGTTCAAGAAGTGGGACAGCGGCAGCCTAGTCTGACTGTCCTTTCTCTTGAGTCACACATTGACAGTTGCTTTTTCCATTCTTTCCCCTTTAACTCCTTAAGTTTTATCAACCTCCTTCCCACCTAGAAGAACCAAAACTCACGAAATAAAGTAAGAAAAACTAAAAAAAGAATCAACTGCTCATGACAAACCACTGGCAGCAGCCCTCACCCCTCCCTGCGCTCTCCCTAGAGTTAATTCGGCGGGAAGTCGGGGTGGAGGGGAGCCTATAATCTGATTTTAGACGTGCTCCGCTGCATCATTATTCTGTTTCCTCCAATTCTTTTCTGCTCAGGCTGGCCCAGCTGTGTCTCTCCCCTGACCCCCATCCCATCCACTCCTGTATCACTTTCAGGCCAATCCTTCACGTTGGATTTCTCCACCTCCTAATATTTAATTTTAATTTAAAGCCCCCTTCCCTTGCAAATCCTCTGACTATACAGACCAACCTGGTTTCCCCCTTGGAGTCCCTTCTCCTACTTCATTATCAGTGAGTCAGATTAGCATCTGACAAGAGAGCAGAAATGAATCTATTCCGCCTTGGTTTCAAAACCTAAGGCGGATTATTGCTTCTGTTATAAATATAAAGGACATTTTAATTTTCTGGAAGCCAGAACAGACAAATCACTCAGAATCAAAGTGAACCAGGCCCCAAAGATCAAGGAGAGCCACTTGTTTTCTGCTGCCCTGGGAAGACAACACTGGGCTTGGAGAGTCTCACCCCCCACATTCCTTACCCGCTACTTTCCTCCCACAGGAAGTAAAGCTTCTCTCTGGACTTGGGGGAGCCACTGTCCCTGGGCAGGTGTGGAAGGCCCCCAAGCTGTAACTCTGGCAATTGATGCGACTTCCAGAGGGCTCAGAGGCTGGGTCAAAATGCAGATCTAGGGTGTGTCGTGTGCCTTCTTCTTGTGTGTCTCTTTGACCCTGTGTCTACACATGGCCTTCTTACAGGGACACTAGTCATTGGACTTAAGGCCTATCCTACTCTAGCTTGACATCATCTGAACTTAATTATGTAGTTTCTCTGTGCCCTCTGCATTTATTTGGTCTGGTTAAATAATCAAATTAATATCAGTAGGAGAAAAGAATAAATTCATATGTATGGAGAGTCTATATGGATATAGATGCTAAAGCAGAATAGGGGTATGTATCCTAGCTAAGCAATGGGAGGGGGATCTGGGCTTTAAGGAGAAAAGAAGGGGACTCATATAATGAAATAAGGGTGACTTAAAAGACAAAGACCAGATACTCTCTAATTAGATGTTTATCCGCCATATAGAGATTTTTTTTATAAATAGAAAAGCTATTTCATTTTCATTTTCCTAGGTAGTTAAGGGAATGGAAAAGATATCTAGGCCTTGGTTGGCCTCAGCTTGAAAAAAATCTCCATGCCAGAGTGACATTTGAAAGCTGTCACTTTGTGAAGGCTCTTCTGGACATCTAGGAGCAGCCTGTCCTGTTATATCTGCTAAACCCTATTTCCAAATAAGGTCACTCAAATTTTGAAGGGACACAATTCACCCTACAACAGAAGGTCACTCATGGTATCAAATAGTGCTATTCCTCATGAGAAGGAATTTGAAACAGTGGAAAGGGGATGGAAATTTAGACAGGAAACTGGATTCCCAACCCCAAGTGCTGGAACCTGTGTCATCTTGGCCCAATCTCTACCTTATGTGCCTCGGTTTCTTTACAAAATGATTTCTGAGGCGCCTTCCAGTTCTAACATTCTATGATTTAAAATTATTTTGATCAAGTCATTTTATTTTTTTGCCTCGAAGAGAAAGACAGAATGAATAATCAGAAAACCAGGAAAGCACAGAAATGGGAAAAGAAAAAAAAAAAAAAAACTGAGAGAAGGAAAAAAAAAGGCAACAAAAACCAAGGGTGAAGCATAATGAGCAGGAGGAACATAAGGCAAGGAGAAAAATGTAAGCAAGAGAAACAGCTAAGACAAAGCCAAAGAAGGGAGTTTGAGGCAGCAGGTCATGGAGGAGAAAATTGTGGCCTCTTTGCCTGCATGTGTGAGTTTCTGTGTGTGCATTTAACCTTGTTTGCTCCTAATCTAAGGGCAAAAAATATATATGGCTGTATAATAAGGAGCAGAACATTTCCTCTGGTTGCATACAAACTCCTGCTTTATAAACCATTATCTCCCTGAAGCTATTAATTTAGAGCATATTGTAGGAGGGATTGGCCAGGCACGGTCAGAGAAGGAGCTGTGTGTGTAAAAAGGGAGCCTTCTTTTTTCTTTTCTTCTATCAATAAGGCAGTTTGCTGGCAGAAGTAATGTCAGGGACAGGAGTGTTTTTTTAGCATCTGTAGCAATGGCTTATTTCCATCTGCCTCTCTTGCATTCTCCCTGGAACTATGGCCTTGCCTGGCCACAGACCCCACCTCTTGCCCAGTGATTTCAGCTCATACCTGGAACCCTGCATCCCAAGGAGGCTGCAAGCAAAGCCTCCTCACACAGTGTTTCTGGATCCCTCTGTGGTCTTTTTGGGGGTGGGAATCTTTGAGCAAAGTTCCCCCTCAAAAATCCCTGCCTTTAGTGCCCTTAAATTCCTGAGCACCAAGTTCATGTTCCCCTCTGAACTATGTGCTTGCTACATTCTCTTAAGAACCACTCTGTAGGGCCTCCCCGGTGGTGCAGCTGGTTGAGCTCAGTGCTGTGAAGCTGTCTGCAGCCTCTGCAGCATGGGTTCCATTCCTGGCTGGCCAGGGAGATTCCCACATGGCAAGACAGACCTCTCCTGTCTTGCCAGCTACTCCCCTCAGCAGTGCTTTTTGTGCTGCCTGTTCTGTTCCCCACTCTGTCTCTGGTGAATCCTCTCACCCTCCCGTGCCTCTGGCCTGTACCCCAGCTCTTGTATAAATAAAATAAAATCTTTAAAAAAAAAGAACCACTCTGTAATAATGAGAACAGGGCAGCTGACCACAGCAGACAAAAACCCTGCAGCCCACTACCTGGGAGGATGCTAAATTATAGGACACTCTTAGAGTGGAATATTATGTGACAACTAAAAGTCATGTTTTTAGAACAATGTTTTATGACACAAGTGTGAATAATAGAGAGAGTAGAGAAATAAAAAGAATACATGGCTTTGTCATTCTAATTGACATAGGAAAATTCTAGAAGGAAACTGACCATATGGTTAGGTGTTTAAAAAGGTGTGGGGCCAAGCCTGCATGCAGTTCATTCAAGAATCTCTCCCTTCCTGGTGATAAGGATTCAGTAGTTGAAAACTAGCATGTCACTGTATCTATGGAGTGTCACTGGGTTGGTGTTTTTCAGAGCTGGGGTAGGATGTGGGTGCATTTGGGGTGAGATTCATGCCTCTGTTCATAAAGTCTTATTTCCCACAGATGATGACCTTTCTGCCCTGCACCATGGAGACTCATAGGTAAGTTGGCCTCCTCTTGAATCACCCTCTACCTCCAGTCTCCACCTTTTACAATCTGAAAGTTAGCTGCTGCTTATCTTCCTTCCTAATAGCCCAATCCCATTAAAATAAGCTGTTCACTGTTTTCTCTATGGCTTCTAAAACTGCATCCATCAGATGTTCCCTCACTGCAGAGAACCCTGGAGACCTGGATTGAACACCTGTGTTACCTGCCGGGGACAGGTGTCCCTGGTAGACGCTGTTGCCATCAATATAGTACATAGCAAATTCATGAGAAAAGCATTGTGTATGTAATACAGTTACCTTTTCTTATGTTTTCTTTTTTTTAAAAAAAGATTTATTTATTTATGCAAGAACCGGGGTACAGGCCAGATGTGCGGGAGGGTGAGAGGATTCACCAGAGACAGAGTGGGGAGCAGAACAGGCAGACTGACTGAAATACACTGCTGAGGGGAGCAGTGGGTGAGACAAGAGAGGTCTGCCGCACCATTTGGGTTGCTCTGCGCTCCGTGGGGATCCAACTGGTGTAGACAGCTTCACAGTGCTGCGCTCAACTGCCTGTGCCACCAGGGAGGCCCCCCTTTTCTTATGTTTTCTAATCAACTTAAAAATGCACTTAGCAAATGATGGCCAGTGAGACAGAGAAATGATTTGCTTTTGAAAACTGTGATGTCTGCTCTCTGTCTCATGTTTCTGGAACAAAAATATGGACTCTGAAAACACAGACATTCTGTGTGACTGAATATGTGATCCTCAAGTAGAGCTAGTTCTCCACTTGAATAGTTTCGGAATGATTAGCCTATTGATCAAAATTAAACTCCGCTTGAGCTGGCCTCAACCAGCTCTTCTGGCCTCATCACCGCCCCTCTCCTCACTCATTGAAACCTTTATTTCCACACGCCTTCTGCCTTCAAACTGTGCTTTCTTTGAATGTTTTTCCCATGTCTCCACCCTCCAATTTTACTTTGTCCTTTAAGGCCATATTCAACCATCCTCTGAAGACTTCTTGGTTCCCTGAATTACAGGTGACTTATTTCTTTTTACCTCCAAAACATCTTGTTCATTTCTTATTGACATCCTTGCAATAATTTGTCCATGTCTCCCCTCCCCCAGTCATCTGTGTGCAATATAGGGGGAGGGGATGTATTTTGAACCTTTAAGTTTTCCCCCCAACTTCTGGTACTAGAATGCTTGTTGATTGAAATGGTTACCAACCCAAATGGGTTACCGACCCAGCTCAGGGATTCTCAGATATTGGTTCATGGAACCCTTCACTCCTTGGGCACCTCTCATGGGTCACATATAAGTCTGGTCACTGAAGATATGTAGGTGTTTGTTCTCAGGGAACTCCCTCATGTGGGCGGATAGCTAATCAACAACTACAAAAAATCTTAGGACAAAACAGGGTCATATCATTTATTTCATAAATATTTATTGAGTGTCTGTGACATATTAGAAGTTGTTGTTGCTGGGGATACATTCTGATGATAGAAAATGACTCGTTGGGCTGGAAGTCATATAAGATGGGACGGTCTAAGCAGGTATCTCTAACGAGCTGCCTGGGACCTGGAATAAATAATTATTTTATAAATAATGAAGAGGAAGAGGCCACCAAAAGATGGGGAAGAGAATTGCTTCAGGCAGAAGGAAAAACAGGTGCAAAGGCCCTGAGGCAGAAATGAGTTTGGCATAAGGAGCATAAAGCAGGCCAGAGTTAGCAGGTGGAGTCAGAGGTGGTGGTGAGAAGTAAGGGTGGGGAGCTCCTATGCAGGTGCTAAGGCATTTAGATTTTATTTTATATGCATGAGAATCTGTTCATTCAGAATGAATAAAATGCTTAAGTTCTTAGGCCCCCCTCCTGGAGATTTGATTCAGTGAGTTTGGTATAAAGCTTTGGCATCTGTAAAACACTCCCTAGGTGGTTCCAGAGAGGAAGTCTGGGAATAATTCTGGTGGTTGAACCTAGAGGGACCACGAAGGCTTTAGCCAAATTCCTGCCCTTTAGAGCAGGCATCAGCATGGAGGAGACTTTGGATAAAACATGAAGCTGAAGGGCAGGTAAAGAGAAATGGGGTCCCTAAGCAGCAGCTGGGACCCCCCACTCACCTTCGCCTCAGCACTGAGACTCCTTTCATGCTCTGAGTCTGGTGTTTTCATCTTCCTGTGTGGGGCCCCATCCCTGGGGCAAACAACATGCGGCTATGCTGGCTTCGGGAACAGAGTTCTGAAGTTCATGTCACTTACCTCCTCTGAGTCCTGACTTTGTAAAAGACTCTCAAATGAAATAAAGCAATTGAATGAGATTCCCTCTAAGAGTCTCCTCTCTAGAAACCAGGTAAAATAAAAAATTGGCCTGTATCATTTCATCAAATCTTCATGATAATCTTATGAAGCAGGTTGATCAGGCTCATTAGCCGCAAAGGAACTTCAAGTCTAGAATCCGGAGTCTCCTGACCCAGAGCCCAGGCTCATCTGAAACACCCTTGCTCCATATTCAATGAAACCATAGCCTCTGACTCCTAAAATCTTGTGGCTGGAGCACTCCAAAACGTTGCTTGTTCTGGATTCCCCCAGGCAGCTTGGCAGGTACATTTCCTATATAAGGGAAGCTCAGCTTCCCCGCGCCCCTGCTACCTCTTAGCTGTGTGACTTCAGGTGAGTCCTGGCCCTCCAGGGGCCTGGGTTTGCTCCTCTGCAGAGTGAACTGAGGAGATGAAATGTCATCTGTGACTTTCCATGACTATTTAGTCACTTACAGAGCCAGGGAAAATTGAGACTCATTGTCAGACAGAGACTTCTCGCCATCACAGGGAAAATTACCTTTTGAATAGAGAATGGAATTACAATTGCTCCCTGGCTCCCCATTCAGTGCACTGCCGGCCACCACCAGGCCACTCTCTGTCCCCAGCAAGCTTTTGTTCCAAGCAGCATGCAGAGAGGCTGGAACAAGCCCACTGGCTGCTCCCATTCCTCATTTTCCACTCCGGTGTCACTCAGATGGAAGCTTTTCTTTTCTCTTGGTTTCCTTTTTTTTCCTATTCTGACATTGCCACAAACACAATTAGAGAGGACAAATGCTAATTTCATAGAGAAGTGGAGACTAAATTCTTAAAAAGGGGAGAAGGCCCTTAGAGAGAGGACTTTCTTTATTTTCGCGTCATCAGTGGATTAGAAGGAAGGGGAGGCGCAATCTGGGGAGCTGCGCGCCAAGCGCTTGGTGGGAAAGAGAAGTAGGCACAAGTGTCCCTTTCCGAAGTGACATCACATCTGCACGGAGGCATGATCCATTGCCTGGACAATGTGGGGACGTGCCAGGGCATAGCGCACTTCTCAAAGGGGCTTTAAAAGGGGCACTGACTGGGGCCATGGACGAGGGGGATCGTAGCCATAGTGCCAACTCTACTGGCGGAACGCAGAGGTCCTGGCCAGTGGGTGCAGGGCGGGGTGCCCACAGTCTCCATCCCCGGACCTGCGTCCCCGTGAATTCTGCCTGCTCTCCCAGCGAGGCTTGCCCGCAGGGCTGTGCTCCCTTCACCTGCCCCACACTTTAAGCTGCTGTGCATTCAGGGACCGTCAAGAGCCCCGGACCCTGAGTCACCAGCTTTGGGTGTCAGCCTTGGCGTTGAGACCTGGCAAGCCATGCACCGGGGCCTTGGTGTTCTTATCCTCAAAATTTGTAATAATTATCTCAGAGGTGACTTTTAGCTCCCACACCCTGCAGTTCTATGACTCATAGATGGATTGGGAAGGCAGATTAACTTGAAATGTTCTTGAAGGCTGGGCTTCGGGGAGGGGTGATTTGTAGAGAATTGTACTTAGAGGAACAAGAAAATGGAATTGTCTCCCCACAGCCTCCAGCCTCTTGAATCAGAACCTTGTTGCTTTTAATCAGAGGTTATTTGAATCTTTACCGGCAGCCTGTTAAAAGGTGAGCATTAGGGTAAGTTAACAGATAACTGATAACCTCCAAAACTTCAGGGGTCTACACACAGTCAATTTGTATTTTTAATTTCAGTCACAGTCCAATGCAGTTTGAAAGAGATGGGATGGGCTCAGCTCTGCAAAGTCATTCAGCGACTGGAACATCCTTCCAGCTCATGAGTCCACACTTTTCTCAGGAGCTCAGAGTATTCCATTCAGTTGGGGTGGGGGCAGGGGAGAGAAAGGGACAGAAGCAATTTGCAGGCAAGTCACAAGTGGCTTACATGGTACCTGCCCTTATTTCATTGCAAGTATTGGCACCTGGTCCTACCTGGTGCATGAGGACTGAGATGTGGTCTAGCGTTGTGGCCCAGAAAGCAAAGGAGAGCAAGGATCTTGGGGGAGAATGAGCCTCTGCTCATCTCAGGCTGTTTCTGAGAGTAAAGTAGAAGAGCTTCTGGCCTTGCTCCTTCCAGACCTTCTGTGCTATTTGCAGGAGACGGTGCCCTGCCGCTGTGGGCTGGGTCCTCCCAGAAGGGTGCCTTGCTCCGTTTGCACAAAAGCACTGTGCTCTCTGGCAGTGGCCGAGTATATGCTCTGAAGTTGATATACCTTGTATGGAATCTCAGCACCACTCATTAACGTGAGAACTTGAATAAGAAACCTGTTCCCAGATTCCAGATGAGGCATCTGAGGGGTCTAGGGACTGGTGGAATGATTTCATGGGGTGGTTGTTGGGATTATATGAAATAAGTCACGTAAGGTGAGCAGGGCAGAGAAGGCGCACATTGCATAGAACCAGTTTTCTTTTTGTTTCCCTTTTGGGATAGTTCTAACACCACAAGAACCCTGATTAGGAATATTGGTCTATGATTCATTTCATTAATGAGTTTGGGCCACTTCCAGCTCCTTAAACATTGTAGGATCCTTTTTCTCCCAGCTGAACTGGAAGTTAATGTTCGCTCTGAGCCTGGCATGTATTTAGTAAGACACAAAACAAAAGCTCAAAACTGTATCGAAGAAGGAGCAGAGATAATGATTCTAAAAACCCAGGATATTTTAGAGACGGCAATTGCATA